AATTAATTGTATTTATGTTATATTTTAATTATTAAACTGAGATAAATATTAAAAAATGTGTTAAACTGAATATGCATTAATTATTTAAAAAAAAAAAGAAAAAGGAAAAAAGAACATTCTTCTTCTATATATATATATATACAGACACATATATAATCTCGCTCAAGTTGTTTGTTGGAATGCTAATAATATTGATGATGCAAAGGTTATATACAATTTTCTATCTACATGCCTCAGTCACTAGGGAATTTGGGGAAAGGGGAAATTGAATTGACTTTTTTGTAATCGGTGGAAAAGGAATTGATTCAATTGACTAATTAGGATGTTGTGGACATTTTAGAAATTTTAGCTCTAGATTGGTATTTATTTTTTTGTTAATATAAATCGCAAAAAACACTTTTGAAAGGAAAATTTTATTCGAAAATAAAAATTAAGGCTCCGTATAGTTGTGATTTTTTTATTTTAGTTTACAAAAATTTTAAAATTTTAGAATAGAATTAAAAAGTTTCATAAATTAATTAAGGTTCCATTCAATATGATTTTAGTTTTTGGTTTTTGATTTATAGTTTTTATATATAACTACTAATACTATACTTAGCTTAAATTTAGATAAATTCCAATTTTATAATAAATTTTGGTTAATAAAGGTAACGTTAATTACTAAATATTTAAAAAATAAAACTCCAAAACCAAAATCAAAACCATAATAAATGAAACTTAAACTTTGACTTTTGAGTATTAGTTTTAAATTTTAAACTTAATAACTTGGCATTTTTATTTTTTACTAAATTCTTAATATTGAAAAACTACATTAAACTCCAATTAATAAGAAAAAAATCTCTTCTAGCATTTCTTTATTATATCATTAGTCCTCATTTACTAATTTACTACTGATTGAATTGAAGATAGAGAGAGCTGTTACTTGAAACTATGGAATTTGTTACTTTACTCAATTCTATTGCTGCAGATTTAGTGAAGAGTGAGGGGTGTACTTATCTTTGGGAAATTAAAGGCTATTATATAGGATATTAAGAAGGATTTGACTTTTGCCCCTTACTTTTCAGTTACTTAACTCGTCCCATGTTTGCTATTGTTGGAGCAAGATGCGCTTGCTAGGCTGTCTTGTTGCTCTGTGTTGCAAAGATGTTGTTGCTGTTTTCACTCCGGTATGCTACTATATTTTGTGCTTATTTAATTAATCAATTACATGTTTTTATTGGTATATATTTCAGTTCAGTATATTATACAACACATTTATTAAAAAAATTATTTTTTATTTTCCTCCAAATTTATTGTAATTTGTATTTATTTTATAAATTAATACATATTATTTAATTTTTACAGATTTTGTGACTACACCTCCCATCTCCACCATTGAACCGAGGTGTCACTTTTTTACTCCATTAATTTTATCTATCTACTTATTTGGGTTTAATGTATTACAAAGCCCTTTTTATCTTGGATTTGAAGTCAGAGAGATTAAAAAAGAAGTACTTGATTGTTTTTCATGTCAATCATGAAAAGTATTCAATTACCTAATCTACAAACAAACAAACAAAAAGTATTCAATTACCTAATCTACAAACAAACAAACAAAAGGTAATGGTAGCGAGAGACAAACTCTAGGGGGGCGGGTTAGGCCACCACTACGGGCGCTTACTGCCGCTCTGATAAGCCAGCAGCCTCCTTTGTTACCCACGTGTGGGGGAGGAAGAGAGCATCTACACGCCGCCCCAGGCAGCCTGGTGGGAGGGAAAACACCTGTTTATTTACACGCCGCCCTAGGCTACCTTGAAGCTGACGTCGTGCGTGCGGGGGTAGTGGAGTCCAAGAGCTATCTCAACCCATTACCCTATTGCCCCCACTCGGGTTATAGGCCTGCGTTACAAGGCCCAGCAAGATTGTGGATTGGAGTTTGATATTTAAACAACTCATTTCGTTATTATCAGACCGATGTGGGATATT